TGTTCACATCGACATTCCTGCGTTATCACTTTTTTACTTTTACACGGGTTTGATTACGATCTTATCCACTCTGCAATGTCCACATTGCAAAACAAGTCGGTATTTACTAGATCGTAAGACGCGCGTACGTTTGGGAAACTGCCAATGGTTCTCAATACTTAAAAATAAAAATGTACTTTCGAAAATATTTAGGCGACTCATAAAGTATTACGTTTTAATTAAGAACTTGTAACGTTTTCAACACTATACGTATACTGTACTATGTAACATTTTTTTTTTTTTTGAAATTTAGGTTTTCAAAACGTTATTCCCATACCCATAGCTTATAGACGCAAGGTATGCGTTGATTGTTATAGTTGTTAAATCAGTTTACGATTTTATTTTATTTTTTTATATATAAACCGAATTCCTAAGTATTTATAGTTTCCTGGCGCAAAGTGTGTTGTCGTAAACTCGTAAATATAAAACTACTAATGGTTTTGAGCTTATAATATTTTAATGACTTATTTGCGAACTCCGGGACATCATAAAGTCTTTTGTAACGATTAAAAATATAAAGTTACAGTGAAAATTTTTTTTTAATATATCAATCAATAAATGAAAAACGATAAATACCATTAAACAAAATATACCAATAAAAATCGTCATGTCTGTGGCATACATATTCATGAAAACTAGTTAAGATGTTTTGTTTTAAAAATATTATAATGTGTGTGTGTATGTTTATTTTTGAATTTTAAATTAATACTAAAAAATATGAAAATATAAATACATTTTTTTCTAAAAAAATCATTTTTTAAGACATTTTTAATTTATTAAAATTTCACTTAATAGAGTTTATTTCAACATATAATTTTCAAACATTTTAGTGCAGATTGTAACGTTTGATACACAGTAACGATAGAATGGCATATCACATATTATTTGAAGTCTTTGTTAAAACTTAAAAGGTAATAAATCATTTATTATTACAATAGTTTTTCTTTTTTTTTTTTAATTAACAATTGAAAATTATCTTATCTATAAATATTTAATGAATTGTTTATTAAACTTCAATATATTATAAGTACTTACACAAAATAAGTGTATTATTTAATATTACAAAATAAAATTGAAAATCGTTATTATTCGTTTAAAATCTAATTCTTCTAAATTGATTGAACAATTTCTTTAAAAAAAAAATTACTCAAAAGTAATCAAACTATATCATGTGTAAGAAATGATAAAATAAAAATTTCAATAATCTACGATCATGTTTTTTGAATAACACCACAACAGCAAAATTAATGTTTCTAAAACCCTTTTTTACGTAAAAATCTTACTATTTTTTTTTAAATTAAAAGTGTTGTACATTTGACCACTTAACTATATAAATAGCAACTAGATTCAAATCGCTACAAAAACTACCTTAAAAATTGAAATATGAAATATTTTTAATGCTCCACAAAGGTGATGACAGATGAAAAAGAAATAAAAAAATATACACACACATGACACGCGATTTTAAAATTTTTATATTCATTTCTCAGCTTGGAATTTAAAAATATATGAATCATAAACCTAAAATTACATTAAATTGTCATGTGTTGTTAAATTCTGAGGAGAGCGACTATAATGTATCTATTAATTTTACAATATATATTTTTTTTTATCTGTACACACGATAAAAAACTAAAAAAATGTTTCTGCTTTCAAATTTGAAGGTAGTTTTGGATAGCAAATTGAATAGTGCTTATATTTAAGAAAAGTATGTTAGAAAAAATTAAAAATTAAAGAAAAACAGGAACTTTTACGCAAATCCAGTTTTTAACTAAATGAAATTTTTTTATTTTAACTCGATAACGAATAACCACTAGATACTTGAAATTATAACCAAATATTAATACGTTAATTTTTTTAATTTAATAAAGATTTCAAAATATTTCGACTTTTTTTAGTATTTATAGTCATTTTAAAAATTCAATTTATTTTTTAGTGTTTTATTCTTATATTTAAATGACGATAAAATCGCATTTACTGCATATTATAGCTTGATATGTAAAATTATTTAAAATACATAAGCACGCTTTATTATCATAAGTATTAAAATTTTAAATTCAAATTTTGACCAGAAAAAATTTAAAAAATATTAACATTAAAAAATAATCAAAATTACATATTTAAACTATAAACACGATATTAAATATTTTGTTATGGTTCAAAAATATTATTACTGAAGATATAAAAACTTATATGTTATTATATTTTATGCATACAATATTTAAAAATGAATTATTTTCGGCTTAAATCTGGTGTATAACGAATAACTATAAAAATTTCTTAAATAGAAATATGGTTAATATCAATTATTATTGACTGATAAACAGTCTTCGCTCATAATCATTTTCTTACACAATGACATAATGTCATTAAATTCAAATTTAACACGCCCATCACAGTGACTCGTTTAACACCTATCGTACACCAGAGCGGTACCATCTTATCCATCACTTTTACAATTAAAAAGCCATTGTTCGGAACAAAAAATTGTTTGCTAAATTCACTCACTTGTAATATATATAGGTATAAACCACGATATGCGATTTCGTTTCAGTTAAAATAGCCATAAGCTAAGTCAAAAGCGAGTTTTAGGATTTATTTGTCAATTTAATTTAATGGTCAAGCAGATTATTACGACGATAATTGAGTGAGTAGTGATGAGAAATTCACTATTTTATTCAAAATAAGTGGAATAATGGATAATTATTTTGTAGAAATTTTCGTAGAAATCTAATCGAATCACACTATGAATTCGGCAAAGGCTGTCAAACCTGACCAAATTATGGAAAACAGGAGAGTAGTTGTGCGTGGGGTGGTAGTGAAAATCTAAAGTAAGACCAGCACAAGAATAGTCTTTGAACTCTCTCGAAATGTACGAGTTAATTGTTTTCTACCTCATTTCAATAGAAATCGAAGGATTATGATTGAACGACATTAATTAATAGGCCACTAAATTATTTAACTATACTTAAGTCGTTAATTATTTTCGTTAGTCTATTGACTGTTTAACAGATTACTCTAAATTAGGGATGGCTTAAAATGAAGTGCCAAGTCAATGTTGCTAAGTGTCTTTATAGGCCGAGGTAAAATAATCAGGTGCGACATATGGATCGTTAATACCGTAAATCGTCTTGAACGATATATGGTTTAGATTATTAATAAGTAGTGAAATTAATAAAGTTAAAACAATTGTTAAATGAACATAATACTAAGTAGGTAGTAGTACCTAAATATATTAATAGTAAAAAAATATGAAATTAAAGCCAAAAAACATATTCCTAGTCTGGTAAAAGATATAAAATAAAAAACAAATTAAAAAAAATAAGTTTATTGAATAGGTACATTTTATCGACTATTTTGTACATTTAAAATGTTAAAAATAAAATAATAATAATAAAATAACGATTATAACGTATCTATCTAAAATAAAGGAAAACCGTCACATTACCTTAAAAATAATAATAATAATTATGTATTAATTAAAATCAAACAGGACGTTTCTGAGATGCGAACGCGTATTATACACACCTAGAAAACAAACGCGGTCCTCACGGCTAAGCGCTCTAAAACTGTGGTATTGTGTACTCAAAATATAGGAATGAAAAAAAAAAAGAAAACTCACAGGATCGCGATTTTCTAACTACCGCGTTCGGTATGTACAAACAAAATCATCAACACCACCAACGGTGGACGTGACGGTTCGACCCACTACACGGCGACGATATTGATTTTAATTATTATTATTATTATTATTACTAATAATATTAAAAATATGATTCAACAGAAAATACGTAAATCGCAATAAACGAGTACACCTGAATGATAAATTACATTCGCGAAATAAATAAATATAAAATATAGTAATAAGTAATAACAAAGCAAAACGTAAAGTCAAAGAAGAAAGTAAATAACATAAAAACAAGAACAAATTGTAACATGAGACAGCGAATTAATCATATAACGTATAACATCATTACACATGTTATTATACTAAGTGATGGTACACTATGCGCACAAACAATTATCAATAATAATTAAAATTAAAAAATAAATAATATTTTGGTATCTGTTTTTTTAACATTTACCTTTTGAGCTTTGGCGGCGTCGAAAAACGCTGGAAAAACGATGATAATAAAATATAATAACATGGCCATAATGTTATACTTTAACGATACTTTAAGGCAGACACATGATAGGAAGAAAGCAAAAATAAAACATAAATTTAAAAACTTATATAACGAACCGCATAAGAAAAATGTGACGAGTTAAATATCGAAACAAGTGTTGCGCATGTGTTTCGAACATTTTTCATAAACGACGTATCATAACAGAACATAACAAAACTTTGACTTATTGACTAATCTTAAAACTAAAATTATAAAAAAAAAAAAATTAATTCACACATCAAACAAATTGATTGGCTTATTGCAAAAAATAATCTAAATTTGCGATTGGCACTCTTATTACAAATTATTTTCGAATATATACTTATTACTTTAATAAAAAAAAATTAATTAAATATATTAAAAACATATCATAATATTAATAAACATAAATCCGTTTAGAATGATACTAAATACAAATCATTTTACATACAAGATGACGAATTACTGATAAATATTAAGTTAAAAACAAAATTAAAATATTCTGCTCATAAAGTACAATGTTTTATTTATATAAATATGAATAATGAATCTCCAGTCTTTTAAAACGATTACAACTTTTTTTTTGTTTTCAGAATACATTTCAAGTACAGTGTACGTAATATGGAAAAAATGAATTAACTTGATTTATACTTAAAGCTATCACCTTGAATGATTTTACCAATAGAGTACTAAAAAAAAGTTTGATTATTAAATTATTTTGATGAGAATAAAAAATCAAAAACAAAAGATTACAAATAAAATGTAGGTTATTATATGTATAATTTATATACATATAAACCTAAGTTATTGATATATAATAAAGTAATACGTATATTATGAGTTATGAATAATAAAATTAAATGGATTTTTATAACGTATTTGGAAACTACCTACCTACCTAATTAATTAATTAATGTTATTAAAGAAGAAAATTATGAACAAAAAATTCATTTGGGCATAGTATATCTATCACAAAATATCACAAATAAATAACTTGAATAATACCAAAAACACAATCAGTGTACAGTTTTCACTAATACTAATCGAGAATCGCGTGTTGCATTTATTATGTTCAATAATATTACACACACACACACGATCAATAAACTCTTAACACAAACTAACGCACACGAATAGGTAGTAAAGATACCTATAATTAACATTTAGTACGATAAACCAACTCAGATGAAAACACTCAAACACTTAACTAAGTATACTAATATACTGATTTACTGCAAACGCGCACTGGTCGCACAAACGAATCCGACCGTAATTTAAATTTAGAGTAAAATTAATCCACACCGAAAATGACGAAACCGAAATTATTAAAACTGTTCTTAAACAATAATGAAATACAGAGCATCGTCGCAGTGATAAACGGTTATAATACATAATATTTTAAATCGTTTCGGGTTGGTAACAACTGTGATGACAATAATATTAACCGACAAACGTATACGTATAGAATATTTTTTTGATAAGACAGTGGTTGCTTATATACTACAAGCATTTATACGCAGATACATAATCGCGAAATTTACCTGATCTACAATGACGCAAACAAAAGCGACGGCGTACTCGCTAGTAGCGTGGAGATAAGTGATTAAAACGTAAACTATATAAATATAATAATATATATAAATTATATAAAAAAAAAAAAAAATAACAAAAACGTACCTACAGTTTTCACCTCGTCTACAGAGAATAATAATTATAATATAGAATGATAGTAATAGTAATTAATCGTAAAATCCCGTGGAGGGGGAAGGGGGCGCTAAGACTCGAGAGCTCGAGTTTAGGATTAAACCATAATATCGGTATAATGAGTTATGTGGTCGTGTGCAGATAAGACGGTCGGTCTGTCGCCTACCGGCAGCAACAAGTCGTTGTCATCGTCATCATCGTCGTCGTACGTCGGCCGTCATCGACTCTTCTCAAGGTTGATATTGTGTGGACGGCGTGACGGGAGCCGACGTGACATTCGTCGTACAGTGTCTACTCGCAACGGCGTCGTTCTTGCACGACGCCTCGTCGAGTTTACTACTAGCAGGAGGCGTCTGCAGTTGAAGCTGCTGCTGCTGTTGCTGTTGTTGCTGCTGTTCTCTGTGTTGTTTGTACTTCCTGTTGAAGAAATACCTGCAGCCGCCGTTTGCGGACTTCGCGGGTTTCGCTCTTTCGACGACCGCTACCACGGCGGCAGTCGGCTGCAACAGCTGATGATTGTGATTATGATTCTGCTGCTGCTGCTGCAGTTGATCTCTTTCTTCGGCTATGCGGGGCAACGAAACGTGACCAACGACCACGTCGGCCGCAAAAGTTTTGCCGACTTGCTGCGACGACGCTTGATCGTTTTTACAGGCGATCGGGAAAACAACGACCTTTTCCTCGGCGGCCGAGTCGTCGTCGTCGTCGTCGTGCAATATCTTTGTCGTCGTCGTCGTAGTGGTGGTGGTAGTGCAGGTCTTGGACAGCGGCGAGTTGGCGGCCGGGACGCCGGGCACCCGGACACACATCGGTGGCGACTTGGTGGTGACCGTGACGCGGGGCGCGTGGTGTGTGGTCACCTTGAGCGCGGGATCGCACAGCGGCGATATGGAATTGGACTTGGTCTCGGCGGTGCGCGGGTGCAACCGGTCGGGCGACAGGGCGCGGCGCAACAGGGGTGATCCTGGTTCCGACGTCTTGCACGGCCGACTAAACGACGAACCCGTTTTCTTAACGATTACGGTGCCGCCACTGCCGCAACATCCCAACGAGCCGCCGCTACCGCCGACCGTCGCGTTTGAACCCGACGCGGCCACGCCACCGCACACTGCAGCCACAGCCGCCACCGCCGCCGCCGACGACGGGTTAGACGACGCCAGCGACGACGGGCTGTACGACTGCGTGGTGTTGGAGCTTCCGGGCTGATGTCCGGACGAGAACGTCAGCGGACTGGGCGACCGGGTGGGCGACTGCGGAAGCGGCGACGGCGACGGGGTCCGGGCCAGCGGTGACAACGGAATGTGGCCGACGGACTTGCGCCGGTTGGGTGAGTGCAGGTTCTTGGTGGCCGAGTGCAGCTTATGCTTGAGCCCGTGCAACGTGGACGGCCGCTGGTACGGCGTGGGAGAGTTGGGCGTCAACGTCGGTGACGAGTTGGCTGACGAACTCGACGAGCTGGTCGACGACGAGTAGTCTGCGGACGTCGACGACGCCGCAGCCGTCGTCACCGCATCCTGCGCCGCGGAACCGCCAGCCACGAGTGATCGGTTTCCGATGATGGTCAGCTGCGAACAAACAAACGGCAAACCGTCAATATTATTTTTGCAAGTAACTAAAGAATCGTGTTCAAATAATAAAACGTCACGCGCGTCTATAATCGGTCTCGATCGATTTCTCAACTCAGACCACTCTCGATCGTTATCCCGAATACTTGTATTTTTTTTTTTTTTTTTTTTTTTTTTATCAAAAGTAGAACAAAAATTACACTTGACATTGAACTATAATATGATACACAACATTAAATTATATTTTTTTTACTTTTTCTAATTTCATATCAATGTTTTATCGTCGATTATTGCCGTGTCAAGATTATTTTGTATTTAAAAAATTATTTAAATTGCTTATCAAATAATGAAAATAATTTTAAATACATCCTAGCTGTATTAAAAATTAGGATTAATGAGAATGAGCTTGTTTCATAAACAAGTCAACTTCAGAAAGATTTTTCTCGGACAAACGCGACGATAAGTTATCGTTGAAAATCCCGTCTAAAGCACGGCCGCGGTCCGAATAAACGCATTCGCATCCGCTGCGTACGTACCTGCTGATAGTCGGGCGTACACTTGGTACTGATCCGCCGGAACAGCGACGACTTTTGCCGGCGTCTGCTCTCACCGGCCGGTATGTCCTTGCGCTGCGATCTCTTGTGGTGTCGGTGCGAGTGGTGCGCGAACCCTAGGCCCCTGTGCCTGGAGTTCGATGCCAACTTGCTCTGGCCAGGTTCCCGGCGCCGTCCGCCGGTCTTGATGGTCGTGAACTCCAGCGGCGTGGATCGCAAGGTGGCTTTGTCGCCGCCGGACAACAGGAGTTGCAACACTTGTGTGTGGTTCATCCCCTGGACTTGTTCTCCGTTGACGTGGGTAATGAGATCGCCAGGACTCAGGCCCGCTTCAAAAGCTGGACTTCCGGGATCCACTGCCTATACAATACATACACAAACAATATTAACACTTTACACTGCAAATCGTATTGATTTCATCTGCCTCTTTATTGATAGTAATTATAGTGATGCATCACCATATCATCTCTCCCCCCTTTTTGTGTGCCTTTGCATAATTCGTTGAACATATCGCAATGTTAATGCGTTTACTGGTTAGGTTAGGTGCGAATTTCGGAGCCCGCTTATCGTTGAGCAGGACAAAGACAATTCGAAAGGATTCGAGATTAGGCAATATTAACAAATATACGTTTGTATATGCTAGGGGTGAATAACTGGCGACCCGCGAGCCTTTTTTATCTGGGCAGTGCTATATTTTCAAATTGCATCATACAATTTTAAAGTTAAAAATTCATATAATGAAATAAATAAATGCTAATTAAAATATATATTTTGAATGACCTTTTTTTTGTTTATTATGTTCTGACCCACTAGATTTCAATTTTTTAAAAATTGACTCTCCAGTAATTTTGAATTGCCTATACTTGGTATAAGCAATTATTAAAATAATACAAATCATGATTTATACAAAACATTAAAACGTTATTTTTATTGCGTAGCCATTATGAGTACCTGGGTATCGATACCACTCGTTACGAGGAAGTAAACTACCATAAAAAAATATTTAACATTTCATCCCAGGTAATAAATCAATTAAGTGTTCAAGAATTTTTTATATCATACTCGTAACCAATACTTGCATACAATTTATGTATTGTTTATATATACGATAATAAAACGGAGAAGTTAAAAATATACACAACTTATTTTTTATCTAAGTAAAAAATAAATAAAATATGTAAATTTATACTCATTATTTATATCAATGAATATTGATTTTCAAAATGAATTTTTAAATATTTTTTGTTAATAGCATTTTATAATATAAGATTGAATAAAATATTACTAAGCTTCTTTAGATTAAATTATTTTTAATTTCAAACTTTAAACTGATTATAAGGTTTATATCAAAATATTATATATGATTACCTCAACATATTACACACTAATTACAGAAAAACCAATATTCCTCGTTTTATAATCAAGCTAAAAATGTGTACATCATATTTTTAATTATAATTTCTTGTATAAATTTAAATTATTATAAAAATTGAAAATATAAATGCACGTAAATCATACATTTTTATCGAAACAATTAACAACTATTAACAGATTGACATTTAAAAAAACTTTTACCTTGTATTTAATAAATAATTAACAGCAATTTAAAACTCAAATCATTTATAAAATGGCTTTATAATATATTTATGGAAAGTAAGATGGACCATCTTTAATATTTTGATTATATTTCAGTTCATAGTGAATTTTCAATAAAACTTTCTGTATCATAAAAATAATTCATTATATAGATTATAATATAATTACCATTTAAAAATAATGTTTATTATTAAATGTCTATACAATTCAAAGTTTATTAACCAACTTTATCACAAATATTATAATATTTTATGACGTATGTATGTATAATTACTTAAAATTGTTGAAAATACACTCGAAACAAACAATGTTCTCGATGTGTAAAATAAAATATATATTGACTACTAATACATAAAAAATGAGATATATTGGAATTTACAAGTGGTTTGTACTAGATTATTTATAATTACACATAGCTTATGAACAGATAATGTATATAGATAAATTTTATAACATACCATTACTAAATGGTGCATAGTGTAGAAATCAGTATCGCCGAAGTATACACGAATAGTATTAACTGTAAACCCAAAGCCAGAGGGACCTCTGCGCAATATAATTGGTGGTTTCAAACTAGTGATTAAAGGTGCATCCCTACAGGGAGAGTTTAATGCACTACACGATCCTGGAGACTTCATTTGCAATCCGTTGTTACCGGATTCTAAAACAAGTAAGTAAAAATTAAATTGTTTACTTTACAATAAACAAATATTCACTAATCATTGTATACAAACCAGGAGGTATCATCAAAGACAATCCAGTGGCTGAAAAACTCTTGATGACAGATCTTGCTCGTTGACCACCGAGAGAATTGCTTTTGTGGTTTTTTGCCATGCTTGAAGTACTTGGTGAAGGTGGTAAAGTAGGACATAGATTAGTAGTCACAGGTAAACTTAGGAATTCCTCTTTTTTTTCTGATGAAGGATCATCAGACTCATTTTCTGATAAACTCCTTAATTGCCTGAAAAAATAATTTAACACAACTCATCAAAGAAAAAGATTAAAAAAAAAAACTAATAATTTATTATAGAAAACATTCTCAAAGCTAACAAAATAGTTTTTGTATAAAAATTAGTATAAGATGATAAAAAAAAAAAAGTTTTATATTATTTAAGAATACAATATAATTTAACTACAAATCAAAGTAACACAATCAACATCTAACACTGATAAAAATAATGATAAAAAAGTTTAGGAAGAAAAAAATATTTACATGAAATAAAATAAAATTTAACAAACTGTGTTTGTTTTACTTTAATAGAGTGATAATGCAAGTTGAGTATACCATACTTATACTAAATCTTAAAAAACTCAAGTAGTCAGAAAAAAAAATAATTTTTGTTTTTGTATTTATGTGTAAAATAATTAAACACACATAGGTATTGTAAATTATGAACTATAGTATGTATTGTATATATTTCATAACCAAGTACCAAAAAATGTTAAAATAGTTAATGAAGAAAAACAGTGAACTGACAAGTTAGTGAAACAAACATGGTGATTGTTAACCTCATCTCAATAAACCAGAAATAATATACATAATCGTAAAATTCACAACATATACTTTTGTTAAATTAATCTTGCTCTATTTAGACAAAAAGTAGAAAAGGAATGTTGATTAATTAAGTTTATAACAAGAAGTAGTTAATATTTATTTAAATACATTTGAAAACTTCATAATATTTTGTATAATAAATTATTGAACAATGAATGTTAAAAAGGTATATGATATTATTCACTAAGTATTTTTTATCAATTAGAAATGTAGCTAATTAAACACCTTTTAAAATTTTGACAAAATCAAACACTAGGATTAAACAAATTATTTTTAAATCATGTTTGTAATTATTATTCAAAGTATTTACTTAACTACTAAGTCATCATTAGATTTGATAAGTATAAAATAGAATTTGATGATGATTATTTTTAATAACATTCAACCAGAACATCTATTACTTATGTTAAACACTTACAGAATAAAGATGACAACTCTTATGAAACTTTTTAAATAATTATTGTACTTTTATTTAAATATTAAAAATCTTGGTGGACATTAAAATTAACACTAAGTAATAGTGATCAATATTTTTGAATAATTTTATGGATACCTAATTTTAACTGTTTGGCTAAAAAAATATAAATTAAAAAAAACCCCTACTGCTGTAGCAAATATTTGATCTGTTCAACAAAGATAATAGACATTTTTAGACTTCTTCTGGAGTAAAAGTAAAAACATATGAAAATCAAAATAAATAGCCAACACATTGATTAAAAAAAATTAAATACAAGTGGTTCTTAAATTAAACAACACTCATTCTTTCTAAATCTACTGATTTAAAAAATATTTTTTGTAAATAATTGCAGCTGAAATAAAATGTCATTTTTTTAACTGTTTAAATTTGTTTATAATTTTTACTTTTTTGAATAACAACATACAGTTTCAATTAGAAATTCTGAAGCATAATAATTATTGGAGTATTTTATTTTAACACATAAAAATCAAAATTCGAACGATTAATTTATAAGTTATAAGTATTTTAAGTTTAAATTAACGAAGTAGTGAGGTATAAGAATATTTTGCAAAATGTTGTACTATTATTCTGCCTTTAAATACTTAAACTCACAGATTAAAAAATTTCGAAATACTATTCATTCAAATTTCAATTTTTACAAATCAAAATACTCCAAAAAATATTCTGCATCAAAATATGAAATTAAAAATATATTTAAACATTTTTAAAAGTAAAAAATATTGTTTTATTTCTACTTAAAAATATGTAAAAAATATTTTAAAAATGTTCATAGATTTTGAAATAATGAGTGTTTTTTGATAAAAGAATCGCCTAATACAATTCATTTAATTAAAAATAATTTAAATACTGTACATAATTATTTTAAGATGTTTTTAAGTGTGATAAGGCATAAATCAATTAAATAATAATAAAAATAAATTGAAATAATTATTATTATTTTTTTATTACTACGTTATTATTCTTTTAATGAATATAAAAAAAATAAATAAATACTGACTACTAAATACTTAAGGGACAACTTAAGTTTTACAGAAAAGAAAAAATATAGAAAACAATTTCAAGCTTAAATAAATAATGAATGGCAAAAGAAAAGACAAGCAATAGAACATAAAATAGTGTGTACAACTGATTAATAAACAGATATTATACATTTATACTCAAAACAACATTTTCTTCGTTCGTTTATTATTCAATTAAAATTGTACAAAATAATATAATGTATAATAAAAATTTGATGTAATTTAATATTTGTTTGCAGATTTCATATAATTAGAACATCAGTATGAAAAATTATGTACTTTAGAAAATTATTAGAAGATACTATGAACTAAATAAAAGGATATTTATTTTTATGCATTATTACTTTCCTTTTACTCAACTCAATTTATAATATATGTTACTAATAGAATTGTAATTAATTGAAATAAAATCTTAATATCAAATTAAAAACCAAGATATTTAAACATGAAGTGATGAAATATAAAATATTAAAATTAATTTAATATGATTTTTTATAATTTTATAATTTGTTTGATCAAATTTTGTATTTAAAAAAATTGTATTCTGATTAATTAAATTTGCCTAAAAGTTATTTATCATTTAATTAGCACAAATGTTGTATAAAATTATCCCAATATTAAATTATGTGTATATATGTGTCATTATAAATAATTCTTAATACGCAAAAAAAAAATCTGCAAAAAGTAATTCAATAATCAATATCTACTCTTAAAAATAGAGTTTCAAGTGTACACACACTACAGAAATTAGATAAACGGCTAATAAAGATAATTTTATTGAAAATTTATATTTGAAAATACATTTTTAATATATTTATAAATGACAGTATATATGAATCATCTAATTCAAAAACATAAGATAAAAATTGAAATTATCAACATTTTAAGAGTACTAAGTTCTTCAATTAATCCTAGATAATGTACCTTAAAAGTAAATATAACAATATATTATATATATTATGTAATGTGCATTCACTGAGTGCTTGATCAAACTAAAAAATAAATAATTCTACAATTTTTAATTAGCGATAAATATTACTTTATCAGGAGAACTGCAATTTAAATCGTATATCAAAGCCAAAAAAAAAAATAATAATAATATGCACAAACTGTATTTGAAAAGCTTTTAACAAATAGTGCACATTTTCAAACATTTAAAAACTTCATAAATACAATTATTAGAGGTTGTATTTTATATACATACACAAATATTTATAGAAATAAATCTTCAAAAAGTATTAGTTAGGTTTTGTAAATGCACCACATTTATATGAATTAATGAAAGAAAAATTAAAAACTTGATAATTTTGCTGTGATGTATATGGTGTAACATAAAATTAATGGCTCTAAAGGTATATATTCTCAATACCTTTCAAAATTAAAAAGTGCAAAACTATTAAATATACTTCAAATGAGTAGGAATTGTATTATAAGATTTATGTTTAATCATAAACCATTACATGATGTAAAAATACATTAATTGTAATACATTCAGAAAATATTATTATTATTTTAAAAATAATTAATAAAATATATAAAACAACATTCAAATTGTTTATGTTTATTTAATTTTGGTAACAGATAAAATTAACGTTTCTATGTATTTAAAAATGTATGAGATGGTATTCTCTTAAATTAAGGACCAATACAGTATTTTATTTTTTGATTAAATCATTAATTGGCTGGTCAATTATTGTAGTTATTTAGACATAATAATTATTATTATATTGTTAAAACAGTAACGTTTATATTGATATGTAATTAAAAAAAATTTAAGGGCAAATAAAATTTATTATGTGTTATTATTTATAACCAGGGCTTACAAACGTTATAATAAGGTTAGGTTAGACAAAAAAATTATTGAAATTTATAAACATAATTAAAATGGAAAATGATAAGCACAAATAATTAAATAACACAAAACTAAATATAACGATCAACAAAATATATGATATATCATCAAACAAAACATGATGCAAAACGTTATATAAAGTATATCATAAAATGAAATAATTTCCAATTAGTTAATAATTATAAATTATAAAATATATTTAAAATTTTAATTCTGAATAACGATAAATGTAAAAGTTGAATAACATTTAAATTCTGAATAACAATAAACTCAAAATTTGTATAAGGTTTTAATTGTAAAATAACATATAGCAATTATTTTTTTTTCAAATGCGGGCCCTTTTTATAACAAATGAATATTGTTTTAACCAACTATAATTTCAACAAATAAAAAATTTATTTTAAGAAATAAAACACAATTTGTTTCATAACTGATTTTTGATTAAAAAGGTATTAAACATTTTTAAAAAAAATGTAATTTAAAAAGTATCAACCCTTGAATTAAAATGATCAATCGAACATAATTATCAATTATAATATATAACAATTATTGTTCATAATTATTATGAACTCAGAACAACACTTGGAAAAGGACTTTTTTTAATTTTAAAGGTTCACAAATTGTTCAATAACTACTATTTTAGATAAAAAAAAATAATCATCTTAAGTGTGCCAATAATTAAAACTATATTGTAATATAAAAAGAAGATAGAAATCAAATTCTGAAAACATTAATTTAAAAATATTATCTCCCAATTCACAGTAGTAAAAATAAAATTTATTTTCAAATCCAACAATAAAACGTTAATTAATGTTTTTTTTTTAAGAATATCATTATTTAAATTATTTAGATACTATTTTATAATGGCATGCATATAAGACTTTACCCCCCTCCCCCCCAATAATAATTTTATAAATATCATGTATATTCTACCAGTTTAAAGCATGTTCCAAAGCAAAAAAAAAATAAAATAAGAAAAATATTTTCTATATTTTATTATTCAGTACATGAATATGATAAATAACATTAAAGGCTTACGGAGATCTGTCATCTTCAATCGAAATTGAGAATTTCGGTATACTTTCTTTACTATATAAACGTCGCCTACGACTAATTTGAGTATTTTCATTGTCTTCATTTTGAGACTTGTCAAGTGTTGTTTTCTTAGCTACTGGCGATTTTAAACTTTCATCAACTGTTTCTCCTTCTGATGCTGATGTGTCGAACATTCCTAAGATAAAAATTTTCCAATCAAAATAAGATTAATACTATAAAATTCAACCTCATAAATTATATATACCACCAAATAATAACAGTAAAATATGATTTTCTTACCAGTATTAATAGATAAAGAATCATCTTTAAAGTTGACTGAAGGAGATAATGATGAATATTCATTACTTATTGACAATTTACTTGCTACTTTTTTGAACTGTGGTGAACAAGATGAAAATGTACCCAAAATCAATGAGTCATCATCTGTATCCTCATCAATTTCGTGACTATAACGATCACTTCTGGCTGAAATAGTAATTACAATTTATTATTATTTCAACATAAACACAATATTTAACTATTTAACATTAAAATATATATTATTCTTACAATCAAAATAACTAGTATCTTCTTCATTGCCTAATTGTGGCATAAATTCAGCTTTTTGTCTCAATAATGAGTTCCAATCAACTCCATAAAAATAAGGATGATCTTTGACTTCATGTGATCCACCAGTACCTAATCGATCTCTAGGATTTTGTTGCAGTAATGACGATATTATATTTTTGGCCTCGGGCTGAATTGGCCATTCATTTTCATCTGGCCATTCAATATCATCTATAATAAATAAAATTATTAACTATAAAATGTAATAAATATAACATTGATTCTATGTTCCTACCATTTACAGTATGGGCAAAAAGTTCTTCAGGCGTTTCACCAAAAAATGGTACACACCCTACTAAAAATTCATATAATATTATTCCCATAGACCACCAATCTACTGGTTTACCATAACCTTGTCTGAAAATCAATAACATTTTTGTGAAATTTAATAAAAATTTAAAAATAATGATTATTGCATACATTTTTTTAATATGAAAAGAGTACTAACTACAGTCTCGTTTATATTATACCAACACACTATACATACCTTAGAATCACTTCTGGAGCTATATACTCAGGAGTACCAAAAACTTGTTTGTCAGAAAATTGCCGGGTATCTCTGTCCACATGTACTTCATATAAATTAGTTGCCACTATTAAAATAAAAAAATAAAATTAATTAATGCTAACTGAAAAATTTATTACTGCATAATTGAGTAATAAATTTCTTACATGACATCAAGCCCATTTTACTTAATCCAAAATCGGTCAATTTTATGTGGCCTAATGCAGTAATTAAAAGACTGAAAAATTGAAAAAAAAAAAATTAATTCAAATTCAATTTGTTAAAGATTTATAAAAATGAAGAATTTGTTATATACTTGTCAGGTTTTAAGTCACGATGCACTATCCCATAATTATGAAGATATTCAACAGCAAGTACAGTTTCAGCAAAATAAAATTTTGCCATGTCTGGTGGTAAAGGACCAATATTTTTCAAAAGAGATGCACAATCACCTCCTTCAACATATTCCATTACAAGACAAAGATGTTTCTAGAAAAATAAAATAAATAATAAATATATTTTAATATAGTTCATGTTTTAATTATAAATACCCTTGTTTCAAAACTGCAGTACATGGTGACCACAAATGGATTGTCAGTAAAACTCATAATATCCCGCTCAGCGAATACTTGTTCAATTTGATTACGTAACATTAAATTATTCTTTATAATTTTCTTCATTGCAAATCGTTGACGAGTTTGTTTATGTCTTACAAGATACACAGCACCATACGCACCATTAGAGATCAATTTAATTACATCAAAATCAACTTCTGAAGGTGCCTAAAAATTTAATCAACACTTGGTAAAAATTAAAAGAAAATGAGGAAATCAATATTTACTTACAGAAGAAAATGTATCTTTTTTAGTACTTTGTTGTTGAGTTTTTTTTATTAAAGATGAAGAATATTCATCTAATTTATGAAAGTTTACATCAATATCTAGAAAATATATAAAAATACTTTAAATAAGTTATGAAAAATACATTTTGTGAAAATAAATATAGTACAAATTACATACCATCAACAGAGTTACGATTTAAGCCTAATTTTCCTATTATATATTGTGGTATTTCATCTTTAATGCCTTGACAGATTTTAGCTTGACCTTCAGCTTGTTCTAGCAAATGGTAAAATTCTTCAGGGTCAAATTCTAAGCATTCAAGTAACCTAGCTGGTCTAGATATTATTAATAATAATTTTTTCACTATTCCTGTCAGAAGTGCAGTGGCTTCTTCCGACTTTTCTCTTGCCTGTAATATTAATAAATATTTTTATTTAATGAATTTTTACACACTTTTTTACACAACATACCTCAGCCAACAATAACTCCAAATTTTCTGACATCTCATAAAAGTAACCTCGTGTTATCAATTTTTCTTCAGATTTTTTTAAGCAATCTCTAGCTATTTCCAACACTTGATGATTAACAAATCTAACAATAGGTACAGCATCTGGTGATATTTCTATGTGTTCTAAATTAAGTTTTTCGTATTCATTTATAAACATGCTTAATCGTTCTTCCATCTGATGAGTAGCCTAAATACATGCATAAATGTATGTAATTAATAATTACTATAATGCAGTAAGTTAAATGTTTAAGCACCAAAATTAAACTTTACCTTGGGAAACCTATCTTTATAAAGCACATTCATCATAACAATATCGTTATCAATTACGGGCGATCTGCTTGGACTGCTGCAACAAAGCCAAATGTTAAAAAAAAGAAGATTATACTCGCACAGATTTAAGAAACTGATCATTAACCTTAAACTTCTTGAACGTGGACGATTAAAACGAGATTTGCGGTAAATAATATTATCTTCTTCTGCACTATGAGTACTGTCATTGGATGAAAAATGCTTAGAAAACATATGTAATTCATCAGATGTTGGCATATTTGGAAGCTGGTGTAAACGTTCTTGACTGGAACACTGAGACTGAAAATCAATATAGTTATTCAAAATTATTCCACAAATACAAGATATTTGATATTCAACACTTACTGAAACATTTGAACTTCCAGAAGTGGTTCCATAACCTGACGATGGTAATGAAGCAACTGACCACCTTCTTCCATCACGACAATCTGTATTGAGTAAATTGTGCCTAAAAAATAGTACATCCAAATATTATAAGACATTATTAATCTCAATTAAAATTACACAAACAATATAATTAAGTTAAAAATAAAATATAAAAAAAACTTAAAACAATTACAACAGTTATTCTTATAGTACCAATAAATACCTTTTTATTGAAACAAATGGAAAATGAGGATGAGGGTGAACTACTTTGGGGCTTTCTAATGGACTACCTGAATTTAAAATAATTAAAACAAATGTGTTAAATAACAGAAATTATTTAAAAATATATTATTTATAAACAATTTACTTGACATCGGAGAATGACATCTTGGTAATGTAGGTGATGTATTTGATATAAAGCTTTTTCTGTGACTAGCCTTGTTTGAACGTCTTCCAGATCCAGTAACATGTAATTCTCTCTAGAAAAAAAATAAAATCATATTAAATTTCAAATTAAATAAAAAAGTACACTATTTTATTTTCACACACCAAACTATTTGATAAGGAAGGTGCTGATTGCCCCAGAGTACTGTTGCGCATCAAAACTAAATTTGATAATTCTGTCAACATAAAGAAAAAATAACTATACTCGTCTTATTGTATACAATTATAACAAAAATATTACTATCACTTAAAAAATAAAATTATTGAAATCTAAAACAATGTAATAATTCAATCTAAAGTGTTATGTATAATAATATATTTGAGTAAATTATTTATAGTATAGTATATAAAATTGATGACAAACATATCAATTCAATTATAGTAACAATAATAATCTAATTTATTTTTTGTTTTATTTTATTTATTTATTTTTTTTTTTTTTTTTGTACATTTATAGTGATATGATTATTTTATTTTTTATGATAATCAAATAAAATTCATTATAATACTACTCGATGAATGATTTGATGACCTTTAGCATTTATATTTGATAACTGCTGATATAATACATAATATGGATTTGTATCGAAAGAGTATGATTAGGTAACTACATTGCTTAAAACAAAATTAAGATAATTATTATAAGTTATTATTAGCACATTTATAGTAATTATTTTTAAGTACAAGCTAAAGTTATCTAAATGAATCTATAAATACAATTGTTTCAAACCTAGTTCTAAATTAATCTTAACAAATACATTATTAAATATTAGCACACTTATGTCTCATTACAAAAACATATCCAATGCTAATATTCCTTTTTTATAGTTCTAAATTTTATCTAGTAATATATATATATATTTATATTAAGTAAATAATAAATTACTTTATTAATAAAAGAGTTATGTAAAATATCATAAATAAAATAGTATACTTTAGTAAATAAACCATACTATTATTTATTACCATTTAAAATTGTGATATAAAATTTAAAAAAATAATATTATTTTAATTTAATACAGTATTTATAATAGCTAGAAAAATCTACAAATGGTTATTATTTTAATAATTAAATAATTTTAGTTATATCTACATAACAATAACTTTTAATAAAATATTTAATTATTTAACTGACAATAATAATTAAAGAAATTAAATCAATCCTAATAGAGATAAAAAATCTTGTTATTAAAAATAAATACGTACAACTAAAATAGCATTATCCTAAAATATAAGTTGAACATTATTTTAGAATAAATTTTTATCCTGAGAATTATGAAAGTTTTAAACATATCAATGACAAATTATTAAAGGTGTATCATTACAGCACTCTTAACTTTAAACTTAAAAATTGATAAATCAAACCCAACTCCAACTAGAAACAAAACTCTTAAACAACATTAACTTTAAAACAAATTATATATAATCTAAAAATAGCATAATAAATTAATAAAATATAAACATATACTTAAACATAGTTTTCATCATTTATTTATACTAATTTATATTCCCAAATTATTTATTTTAATACTACCTATAGATATTATATTTATTTCATTGAAAAAAAAAATTATTCAAAACAGCATATTTAAATTATTTAGATGGATAACTTAAACTGAAATGTAATTTCTATTAAGAGGTCATCCATTATTCTTTGTGAAAACTATTTGGCCTTTTAAGTTACAATTTTAGTTAAGAAACAACATTTATATTTATACAGAAGACCAAATTTTTATTGTTTACCATTTTTTATTTTATTTTAATAGTAATGTTAATTTTAAAGTTAAAAAAATATTTAAAAAATTAATTTAAAACAATAAGTTTTTTGTACTAATGATGTTGAGTATAAATCTCTGTGAATATTGACTTTCTTATTGTATAATATAAATTTGGTTTTTTATTCTATGAATATAATTTAAGTAGTCTTTTTTGCACAATATCTTTTTTTAATAAATTCTTATTATGTACATTATGCAGTAATCATTGTTGGTACTTGATATTGTCATGAAACTGCTTTCAGAATAATTTTAATTACTTAATTTTTAAATAAATATAAGATTTAAAATTTTAATTTTTCTTTACATTCAATTTGACTATAAAAAAAGTGTATCCTTTTAATTACTAGTCCTTTCTGAAATAATCAAATTTTATCATGTTTATAATATGAAACACAGTGAATTCTCGGTAATTTAAATTTTATCTAACCCAATGTGTTTAAAATTGGATCATATATAACAAAATAAACAATGTTAAAATAATTCTAGTAACAAAATAATATGAAGAAAAAAATGTTTTATAGTCTTTTTATAAACTACATACTTATGTGTATAGCTCTCATCAATAACTAATGTTTAATTACAATTACAAAAAAAAAAAAAAAATTATAATGACTATAAAAATAATTTAAATAAATAAATCACTGTTCAAATTTAATTTATTAAAAAATATATTTTAGTATTTAAAATTTAAAAATATTATTACAAAGTACTACAATTTATCTATATTAAAAAAATATAAGCTTAAAGGTAATAATCTAATAAACGCAATTATATTTGATGGTGTAGTCCCCAAGCAATTTTTTTCAATTGTAAATCGCCCATCAAGCTAATGTAGTTTTTATCTACTAAATGGCGTGTGAAGCAAAATGTTATGAGAAAAAAAAACAATAATTATGATTTACTAAAAACGTAATATGCCGAATGCCTTGTAAAATATATCTAATACTCGACGAACAATTTAGTCAATAATAATTAGTAAGTCTTTATTAAATAAAAAATGTTGAATGTAAAAATATAGTATTATAAGAACAATTATTATATAACTCACCAATTTTATTGTTTAAATGAGTATTTTGTTCACAAACAAATAAAGAAGAATTTACATAGCACATATTGAACAGTGATGCTATGTTAATAGCTTCAAATATAAATTATTAATGAAACCTACAACCTACCACTCTGACAATTAGCATTCAAATAAAACATTAGTTACAGAAAATCATAAACCTTGTACTAAAACATAGATAAAATGAAATAGTAGAGAGCGTGCTCTCAAGTGTTTGACCAAATTAGTCACATGATACATTTAAGAGGACAAGATTATACTTATACTTATTATATACATATTTATATTTAAAAAAAAAAATATATATATACATATATATGATAGATAATTTAATTGGCACGTGCTATAGATAACTTGGTAAAAAAAAAGAAATTATAAAATAAAAACTAGACAATGTATATTATGCATTAAGAATAAAATATTTTCAACTGATAAATCTGTACATTTTTAAAATGTACATTTTTCCAAAATGTTATTTAGAAACTGCCAACACTGTTTAATATTATGAACATTACAATTATTTATTTTTATCAGAATTGAGAATAGGTACTTGAATTGATAAATATCATGAATTTAAAACATGTAACTTATGATTCTAAAATAAATAGAATCAATAGGTAATAATTATTAATATCATAAAGTGTAATAAAATGTTCAAATTTAAATTATCTACTAAAATTATAAACATTAGAAACGGTACATGTTAAATACTGTCTGCTAATTTAAGTATAGTAATTGATCATTTGTTTAGCATAGTTTAGTATTGCAGATATCTGAAAGATGAAAGGCAAATATTATGTGCAATAGCTAAATTCTAAAAAGAATGAATGCCACCAACAGTGACACATGACCTCAAATTTGCTAAATATTAGTATTAAATCTGCCAAAATCCCAAGAAAATAGACCATGTGCCAATGTTTTATAAATGTCATTGATTTTTGTTCATTTTACTTGGCATTAATATATATATATATATTTATAATTTATAAATATCAAAACATATTGAGAACTACACAAACGTTTATGATAATGTTGATTTAATTTGCAAATAACATACTTATAGCAACTAAAATAATACATTTTCTTTAGAGCTACAAAAGATCAGAAGTAAAATTGGTAATTTAGATAAAACTAATTTAAAATTACAAAAATATACACATAGGTAAATGGAAAAAGCATATTTACTTCTAATACAAATCATAATCAAATTTTCAAAAAACTAACCTTATTAAACTATGTTCATACGATAGTATAGTACCTATTAAAGATTTAATTGACAGTAAAAAAATAATTATTTAAATTGTTGTCTTTAATTAACATTAGGAATATAAGAATAAATTATAGATACATAAGTATAATTAAAATGTAATACTTGAAACTACCAGAAAATATATAGTATTATATACAGAATTTTTATAGATTAAAACTAATTATCAAATATTTAATTTTATATTTTCAACATTTTTAATCATTCAGTATTGTATTTTCAGATATTTATTTAAAATATAGCAGAATAATAAATAATAAAAAGTATAATTTCAAAACGCGAATAGATACCTTAATGTGAAATCAATTTCATGTTGTAATACTGAAGAATTAAAAGATTAATACGTGAGAAGTGATGAAAAAAAAAATCATAATGATAATTACATATTAACTTTTACATCTCTGAAATTAAAATGAGTGAACTTATAAATTATGATTACACAAGTTTTTTTTTTATGAGAATTAAATATCATATTCAAACAAAATAAAATAAACAAAAAAATTGATATTAATAAACCAAAATTACAAGAAAAAAATTTAAAAATTATGTAATTTTAAGTTAAAAAATATTCAGTTTAAATTTTTAAAAATTTTCTAGCATAGCAATAATGTTTTATTAACACATTTAAAATCTAATGAACAATGAAATGACTAAAGCAATAAACTTAAAATAAACTCAGTATCTTCCATCCATAAATCAAGAGATAAACATTTTTGAAACTAGAACTTCAGTTTACGTCAATCTACAGTATACTAAAACTTTACTTTTTTTTTTATAACAGTGTAAACAACAATATTTTTTCCACATGAGTTTGTATTGTGTTTGTTGTAAAAATCTAATGTATGTTCAAAATTAGATATGCAATTAATAAAAAGATATTTATACAAATTGTAATGAATAAAAATGTATCAAATAATTAACTAAAAACTAATTTAAACTAAATGTCATCTGTAATTTAATTATTAACTATGATTATTTATTAAACTTTATTGTTTTTTAATACATATAAAATAATTTTCTATTTAAAAATTTGTTGAGTATAATTAATAAATAATTATTATTTTACTGTAAAGAAGACTTAATAATTATTATTTTAATAGGTGTAAATCATTAAACAATTTTTCCTGATTTAAAAATTTAACTCTAAATTCTGTTTATAAAGACTGTTAAAATACATTTATAAAGTCTTATTAATTAAACAATTGTGAAAATCAAAACTTAATAGTTTTATTATTCATTAAAATATTCTTAAATACATTGATTTATCTAAATTGATATTCGAATAACATATAAGATAAGATGTGACAATCTTGTAGGTTACCTATACATAATTCTATTTTAGCAATGATAATAAAAAAAAAATGCATTTACAACTGATAATAATAATAATTAGTAAATATAATATAAATATGTATTTTATAAACATTCAATACAAACTCAAACTCAAGCCAATACTACAAGTCAATCATAATGTTCATAATAAATATAATAATAAAACATTTGATAAATTGATACTTGATAAAAATATAAGAACAATAAAATATATTTGTTATTGTTTAAAAATATGTTTTTCAAAGAAGGAAAAATATAATATAGTTTATAATCAAACAAATATTTTAAATTTGTTTTCGGGAAAATTAATTATAAATAATTATTAACTGAAAACTTTAAATTTATTAGGTTATTAAAATATGAATTTCCTGTGTCAATATTTATAACTTTTAAAAATTACAAAACGTATTGTAATTATTTGAAATATTTGTTATGAGAAAATTGTTATTTTTATCATAAATCCATTTATTTAAATAAATTAAAAAAAAAAAATTTAGTAACATCAACAATAATAATATTAAGAGACTTTTATATGAATCTAAATATAAAAGTGATTAAGATAGAAAAATTAATATACTGTATTATTACCTAACTGTATTACCTCATATAATAAATTATAAAAAATGTAAAAGCATTTTTTATAAGTTTAGAATATGTGCTATAGAATTTTATTATTTTAAATGGGTTTTTCTAAACACTTACATACATTTGATCATTTAAAATAATTATGACTGAATTTTTAAAATGATTACATCATAGACAACTAAATAATAAATAGTAAATACATAGCTACATCAACAGCTGATACAATTAATAATTTAATTGCAGTATACATGGATAATGAATATAAAATTGAAGATAAGAATATCACTTTAGAAAGTAATTCATTATTAAAAATAATTAGGTATATTGATTACAAATTAATAGCATATAATGCATATATTTCATAAATTGTAAAGTTCAATAAAAAAAAAAAAAACATGATAACTATAAAAAATAATAAGACTAAATCAGTAAATCTGTTAAGATTCAAATAGGTTAAGAATTGATAATTATTAGCAAAGATTAAATATAGATTTAAATATTAGAAGTCAACAAACTATATTATAATTATAAATATTTCTGATATTAATGACTGGATGAAATTTAATTTTATAAGAAAAACAAAAATATTAAAAAATTTTATTTATTTATAAACAACTAAAATATTAAAAGATAGACTGATATTTAATTGTAAAAATAATGCGATATACCTATGAATTAAGTTGATATTTTTTAAGATTTTAGTTTTAATGCAAAACCAAGTATTAACATAATTATTTTTACATAAAAATACATGACAAAAAAAAAAAAAATGTAAAAAAAGGTAAACAATTCAAATCTATATTAGGTGTCCCTTTAGTTTATCAAAAAGGAATTGTGTAGATGTTCTAATAAATGCTCAATTTTACATTATTCTTGATAAAATAATTTATTAAATGCTATAAAATATTAGTTAATTATCGATCACTAAATTTCCTTAAAAGCTATTTAAGTTATTTTATTAATTTGAGAATAAGTGTAATTATTATAAACAAATTATATAATAAATAAAATATAATATAATTTTTATATTCATACTATACATTTGAAATGAATTACAGTACATTGGAACCATTAGATTTTTATTTATTTAGGTTATTAATAATAAAAATGACATGAGATAATATACTAATACAAAAGCAACACTGATATAATTCAATAATAATGTAAATCGTAAACATATCAACAACAATATTAAAACTATAAATTTTATTTTACTTCATAAAATATATTTTAATAATTTAACAACATTTATTAATAATATTAAACAATAACTTTTCAGATAATTTTTGAAAATGACTTGTCATTTTAATATTGTTTTTGGATCAAGGTCATTTTATGTAGATTAATTTACACTAAATTATATATTCTGTTTAATATTAGATGTTTATTTTATTGTATTTTAAGATATAACATAGTTATTTTAAGCTTAATGTATTAATGGAATGTAATGACTTAAATGGTTAATTTTAATTTGTATACTTAAAATATTTATAATACACTAAAAGTTACTAGCTACTACTACCCACATGAAGTTTAATACAATTTATAAGTAAGGGACATTAAATTGGCATTGTTCCATTAAACTACAAAATCTTTAAGCTAAATATTCAAGCTACAATGTAATATAAGCACACGAGATTATGAATCAAAAATATTATGATAAAAATGACAAAATTAAATAAAAATATAATAGTACCTAATCTATTGAAGGTCTTTCAAATTTAACATAACAAAAATAATAGGCAAACTATAATATTACTCCCACTACTTTTTAATCTTGTATTTAAATAATATCAAATATTTAAATAAAATATTAGAATATAAACTTTATTGTAATTATAATGTACACAGATACATATTATACCTAACTATCTAAATAATATTTTTAATTAACATAGAAATATCTAAAAAAAAAAAAATAATAATAATAATAAGTTATTCAACACTTATTTTTTAAAAATTAAAGTTTTTTAATACAAATTACCTAGTAAATTTTTTAAGTAGTTTAATTTACCACATTAATTCAAAATATTGTTATTCAATTTGAATATGAATATTATCATTTAATACTTATTTATAATGTAGGATACCTACATCAAATATCACTGTAAAAACATGTTGAATAAATATAATGTGATACACTTATCAACAATACTTATCTCTAAAACCCCTTCTATCAAATATATTTATCCCTTAAAAATTTCCTGTTATCCTGTAATCCAAATGACCATGAAATAATAAAACCATGATTGTGAATAACTATTATCAATAGAACCTTTCCCTATAATGACTATATCATGATTACAATCACTAAAACCTTTCTTTTTTCTATAATGTTACCTTGATTTTTTTTTTTATGTATTCATTAAAAAGTGAACATTTTAAATTTCAAATTGGTTACACCTTATTTTATAAATGATGAGATAATGAAATACTAATGACAATACAAAATAATAAAATAAATAAACATGGATTATACTCATTTCAATTACAACATCCCAATTTAAATTTTATTTGAAGTAAAAATTATATACAACCTTTGAGCTTTTTTTTACTAAATAGTTATGACATTATGACTTATATTATACCGCCTATTTTACTTTTATTAAGATATACAAAGTTTAAATATTTCAATAACTTTATAATCAAACAATAAAAATAATCATTAAAATAAGTTGTTTTTTTTTACTGACTGAAAGTTAGCAGTTTGTAATTATATTTTAAAAATAAAAATAAAAAGGAATCCATTCAAATTGAGTGAAAGGTAAATTTAATGTCTAAGTAATACTCTTATAAGATTCAATAAACATATTTAATATTGATTTTACAGTAGAATTAATAAAAAAACCTAACTTATAAAATTTAAATTTCAAATTTCAAAATTATTTTAATACATTATAAATTCTTACCTGAGTTATTTGAAGCTGATGTTTTACTCTTGTGTTCTTCTGAATCTGAATACCTGCGGTGTTCCGATTCTTTCAGCGACAATTGTCCCTTCCATGATCTTCTACTATCCATACTTAATCACTCTTTAAATTATACGTACATTAAAAGTTTATGGCTCATGAAAGTTAACATAGCCATGGCAAATGTGTTGTGATTTACAAGTACTTATGTTGTTGAAAATCAAATAATCTTACTGCACCTGAAAAAAATAATTATAAATAAAAAAAGCGCAAATATACATTGCAAAAATATTTATTAATCTTATTCATAAGAGATTTTAAGACTGTATACATATAAATAAAGTGGCAATCAATTAATGAATGCAAATCCATCACCATAATTTATATTCTATAATAAAATCATATACACTTTGTTGAATACCAAAAAAACATTTATAAACTCAATTAATAAATAAAATTATACTGAAGATTTATAATGCTTAATAAATAATAAGTTATCAGTAACCTGCATTTTTTTATTTTTTTATTATTAAATTGGAAATTTAAATTAATATAAATTTAGAATGTATTGTATAGAACTAAATTACAAGTTAAGTATTGATTTTATAAAATAATTTAGTTGTACTTATAGGTAGTTAATGCATGTACAAATCAAAGTGTTCGTTATACACACACATATATATATAACTGTTTAATATTTAAATTTAAAAAAATGTTAGTATTTCCAAGAAATAATACAATCTAAGCACATATTTATTATTTCAATCAACATATTATTAAAATAATATGTACTTAGTTTTTGATGGTATTGTTTTATTTTAACAACGGAAAATTAATTTAAAAAGTTAGGTGCCTACATACTAATTATTTTTAAATTTATAACATATAAAGCTATAAGAAAACTTAACATAAACAAAAAAATATTTTAGGGAAATAAATTCTGATATTTTTATCTATTATACCTACATGTATATAAGAGTGTATACATGGCATTAATAACTTAGGTAAGTACTATATTTTATTAAATAACATATAATAATAATATCTAAATAATCCATAAAAAATCTACACTACACACTAATAATAATTGATCAGAATCAATACCTGCATAAGGTTATATACAAATAAGTAGCCAATAATACTCTTGAACTTAGAATAGGTAAATGATAACAAATTCTTATCTATAATTTTAACAAATTTAATTGTATAATTAAACACCTACATAAATATCACAAATTTAAATTTTAACTGGTAGGTAGATACTAGGTAGATGAAACAAGATAACAAATTTAAAAAAATAATGATGTAAAAATTACTAGGTATGATGGAAATGTTTTCTTTATAGTCTACCCATCCAATACAAAGTTTACTAAAAAATAAGAACACGGAAGCTGATCCATTTTGTAAAGAAAACTTTAAGTAAATAAAACTATGAATAGTTTCTTACATTTTTTTCTAATTAATTAAACAGACAACTTGTAAACCCAACATCTAAACTATTTTAATTCATACTCCAATTGTCCATGTTAATATATTATGGATACAAATAATAACATTAACTGAAACAAATTATTATTTAGTGATATTCCTACTTACTTCATCTATTATTAATGAAAAATTAAAAATAATTAAACATTTAAATAAAATATAAGCATCGTGTTATTAGATAGTAAGTACAAATTAACTCCTGTGACCATGAACTACTATAATATTGATCGATATTAAAACAAAATTAATAGAATTCAGGAATTTTGTCTAAATACATTTGAAATAGATATTTGTCTCGATATTTGTATAGCTACTCGAGAAATTAAAACAAATAACATTCAATTATGTTGAGTTTAACAAAAACAGATATTGAGATTTGATTAAAAGTTGTGCTTTGAAGCAAACAATTTTACATGTAAACCGATAACGAGTATGACTTAGGGCTACCTACGAACACACCGGTAGATCCAGCCAAGTCGGGTGAGTATAATACCATACGTACTGCCAACACAACTTTACACCTAAAAGGCACTCACCGTAAGCTTTGGTATATGTTAGAACAAGGAGGCCAGCTTTGGTTGTGCGTTGCTGAGGACGCAAAGGCAATTCGACGACAGTGGCATTTCAGAACGACGTAACACCAGACTGCAGTGGTGAGTTTGCTGAACGACGGACAAGACGTCTGGCTGATCCGTACCTAGTGCAATGATCACTCGGATAAGGCGACGGCTAGACGACCGGACGGTGTGGACACGACGATGGCTGCGTGTGTGGGTCGCGCAGACGATCGTCAGGGCAGCACGTCCTCGCTGTGCCACGGTTGCCAGCGGAGATGACGATCGGCGGCTACGTCGGGGTAGAGTGTGTTGTACAGCAGCAGTTGTCGTCGGTCGCGTTTCCTTGTGCGTTAGGGGGCCCCCCCCAGACAAAAGCGCCGCGGCGGCGGCAGTTTTCCACAGACACACGCACGTACACACACACACACACACGCGCGCACACAGAACGAGCGGTGGTGGTGGCGCGACGAGAAGTGAAGGGAGAAAAAAATTTCAACGAAAAAAATTGCTTCTCGTCCGTAATCTTATTTTTTTTCCCGTCTTTCCTCTGCCCTCACATCATACACTATTGTGTGCGAGCGCGCACGATGCGGTGTGCAGCACGTCGACAATAGTAATAGTAATAATAACAATAATAATAATAATAATAATAGTAGTACACGGCACACTCTCCGAACTCCAAAGCGCTCGCGTTCAGTGTTCACCCTTCACCGCACTCGCGATCACTCGACGAGAGAGCGCGCGGCAGTCGATGCAGTCGCGGTCGGTGGGCGGGTCGGCGGCGCGCCAGACACACCGTGAGCGAGATGACGAT